TTAGGGTTTAGGGTTTAGGGTTTCGGGTTTCGGGTTTCGGGTTTAGGGTTTAGGGTTTAGGGTTTCGGGCTTAGGGCTTAGGGCTTAGGGCTTAGGGTTTAGGGTTTAGGGTTTAGGGTTTAGGGCTAGGGTTTCGGCTTCAGGTCTTAGGGTCGGGGGGTTCTGGGCGCAGCTGAAGGTCTGGAGTCTGGGGAGTGATCCTCTGCCCCTTAAACTTTGCGTCTCCCCAAACGCGACTCTCGATCCCTAGGAGCCCTGAAGCCCTAAAGGGCTTAAAGCCCTAGAGCCCTAACCCTAAACCCTAAACCCTAAACTCTAAACCCTCAACCCTGATTTCTAAGATGTCCAAGGCTGAGTCGAGCCATCCTGAAGCCTCCTAAACCCTAAACCCTAAACCCTAAACCCTAAACCCAAAACCCTAAACCCTACACTCTAAACCCTAAACCCTAAACCCTAAACCCTAAACCCTACACTCTAAACCCTAAACCCTAAACCCTAAACCCTAAACCCTGTGAACCCGAACTCGGGACATGCCCTAGGGTTTGGGGCTTTAGGGCTTTAGGGCTTTAGGGGTTTAGGGCTTCGGGCTTAGGGTTTCGGGAGCTCACCCAGATTCTGACTCGCAGCTGCCTGGATGCCGAGCTTGGCAAACCGCAAGTCTGCTGCCTGCAGCATTCTAGGACCCTTCAAGAGGCGCCTGGGGATTACACGTAGAGGCCTAGTTAGGGTTTAGGGTTTAGGGTTTGGGGTTTAGGGTTTAGGGCTAGGGTTTAGGGCAACTGCCTGAAGCGCTCCTACAACTACCAGAAAGAACTCAAGGTACAAGACTTGGGTTTAGGCTTAGGGTATAGGCTTTGGGGTTAAGGGTTCTGCCCAGAGACTCAATGCCCTTAAGCAAGCAACGCTTCTGCAACTTGTCATATTTTTGGTGTTTGGGTGGACATTCCATAGATAAGGGTAATTGGCTGCTTAAAACGTCTGACAAAGGTTCCTTAGATATGATCCTATAGGAGACAAATCCCAAGCCGCCTCCTATACCCCAAACCCTAAACCCGAAACCGTTTCGAAACAGTACATTTCATATCCCAAGTGCCTGCCTAGAAGCCTGGGAGAAGTCTTAAAGCCCTCTGAAAAAATATTCCTGAATATTCTCCTCCCTTATACTTCAGTGTAAGTACTACAACGGGCCGATGACTTGAATCCCCCCAACAAATTCCATATGATCACCCTTAAGTCAAGGACCCCAGGTGCTAAACTCTGCTCCAACACGAACGTTGCCAATATCGACGAGCTAGGTTTTGGAGTCTGGTATTGGGGCTGAATATTTGGAATGTGCATGAAGGATGTTCCCTGAATCAATCCCAAAACTACAAGCCCTGTAAGCATCTGCAGGCCCTTCTCAGCTACCTTTTGCTTTTAAGAACCCCAAAAACATATACGCAATAATCCCTATATTGCCCTTATAAGAAAACCCTAAACCCTAAACCCTAAACCCTAAACCCTAAACCCCTAAACCCTAAACCCCTAAACCCTAAACCCTAAACCCTAAACCCGAAGCCCCCCTCCCAACAAGCGCGGGGGCGTCTTCGGAAAAAGTGTTTTGAGTGCCTCCGCCTCGTTCAAAAAGAGATAGACAATCACGGTGCCGAACCTGCAGATGCGCGCTGATTGAAGTTGATTAGGGTTTAGGGTTTAGGGTTTAGGGTTTAGGGCTTAGGGCTTAGGGTTTAGGGTTTAGGGTTTAGGATCAAGGCCTTGGGGCATTGGGGGGGGGGTTGCGGTTGAGGGTTTAAGCAGGCGGGTCTGGGGTTTGAGGGTGGTGGCTACAGCTTCGACCTGGACATATTTGCCACGTAGGGGAACTCAATTCCCGGATGCAGATTGCTTTCTCAAGCGAGTGGTCAACGAAATATTGCGTGGAAAATGGCCTCTGCAAGTAGTCGTCATCAGAAAGATCGTGCCCGTCTGGAGTCATGTCAGGCGTGCACTTGGCGCCTGCGCAGCTGGCAGGGCAACCGAGGCTTTCCCGAACCCCGTGCCTGCCACTCCTACTTCGGGGCTTACGATATTAGGGGTACCTTCTTGGGGTCCTTGACTAGGGGTCCCTCAACTCTAAGCCCTAAACCCTAAACCCCTCCATTTCTGAAAGCGACCTCTCCCTGGGCCGTCTAGGGTGCGGAAGTTGGCGGAAGCGGAAGATGATAGGCCGCAAAAGGAGCTGAGCAACGCTGCGTTCCTTGTCGAATCCAAGTGCCTAAGAGGGATAGCTTTAGGGGTTTAGGGTTCGGGGTTGGGGTTTAGGGTTTATAGGGTTTAAGGTTTAGGGTTCAGGGTTTAGGGTTTCGGGTTTAGTTTAGGGTTTGGGGTTTAGAGGGACAGCTAATACGATGAGCAACTGCGCTGCTCCAAACACTGCTGTAACTTTGCTGGCATACGCGCTTTTTCAATGCTGGCCCCGGAGTCGGGAGGCGTGCATGGGTAAGAGTCTTTGAAGCGACACAACTTGAAGTCCATGGGCACTTCACTGCTGAAATCGTCCACACAAGACTCAGACACTTACTGTTTGTTAGCAGGGAATGAGGGAGTTAGGGCCCTAGATATACCCTTTGAGGGATTACAGAGGGTACCTGGTTCCCCCATTCCCTGCTAACCAACAGTCAGGAAAGTGTCCATGGGCAGCTGGGGTGTCTACCTAACTACTCTACGAGCAGGGCCCTGGGTACTGAGAAGCCGCAGCCATGATCCACTCCAATTTACTATCACAAGGTTTTGAACCTACTGAATGCAAGTACCCTTAAAGGGAACTACTTGCACCCTGCCCCTAAGCCCTAGACCCTGAACCCTAAATCCTAAACCCTAAGCCCTGAACTGGAGCGAGCCGCGGGCGCTGCGATAAGCAGCGGCGAGCGATACCGCGTGGCGACAGGCCCGCCGACGAGCCCGAGCCTTCAGGCGAAGCCTGGCGAGGCCTCCCAAGGGTTTAGGGTTTAGGGTTTAGGGTTTAGGGTACCCTCCCCAAGGACGGATTTAGGAGATTTAGTGGCAACGCTTTAAAGTAGAGAGGGCGCTCCCAGGACAAAAAACCAAAAGGGAGCCCAAGACATAAACCTGCGGATCTTGTAAGGCCCGCTATAAACACTATAATTTGAAAACACCCTGCAGAAAAAAACCTAAACCCGGCAAAGGCACCTTTTTTGGGGGTCCACATGGACGCCTTCGTCCAGATGTAATTCTAGAAGGAATTAAATGGAAGAACCCCTTAATCTTCCAGATTTTTGGGCCTACGGAATGCTTTTCAAAGGGTAAACGTGCTTCCCAATACTTTGAAAGCTCCCAACGCCTTGCAAAGAGCCTTTCGAACGGTTCAAAAGCTTAGGGGAGGCCTTCCCGGGGAATCCCAGGACCCCCGCGACCTTTCACGAGCTAATTTTGGTCGGGGGGGGTCGTTTTTTTCGATGTTCAGAGCAAAACAGTCTTTGGAGACCCCCCTTGCTTAAAACTCCGACCTCCCTAGAGGGAAAGCTTGCCTTCAACAACACTTTTTTGGGGGTCTGCAGGGAGGCCTTTTCGGGGGGTCCCCCAATATTTGGTCAAAGGTGGCCCGTAGCGCCCCCTCCCACTACATACACACGATATTATGGAACGCCCAAGATTTAGACGTGGGTGGGTGGGTTGGGAGAGCGCGTTGAACCTGGGCGCACACCACAACACGCGTCCCACGCGGAGGTGCGCGCGGAACCTTGGCAAACCCTAAACCCGAAACCCTAAGCCCTAAGCCCTAAACCCTAAACCCTCAACCCTCAACCCTCAGCCCTAAGCCCTAAGCCCTAAGCCCTAAACCCTAAGCCCTAAGCCCTAAGCCCTAAGTCCTAAGCCCTATGTCCAAGCATGCAATTGCACACGCGGACATGGCATGGGTTGCATGTTTCTTTGGAATGGGATCTGGAACCACAATACCTTCGCTACCAGAGTTTGGGGTTTAGGGTTTAGGGTTTAGGGTTTGGGGTTTTAGGGTTTTAGGGTTTAGGGTTTAGCGTGCCACAAATGCACGAAGCCCTATACCCTCCCCCCAAAACAGTGGGCCATGATTCTTAAAAGCCACCAACCCCTAATCCCTGAACACCCAGGTCCCAAATCATGTAAACTTCTAAACCCCGCAAAACCCTAAACCCAAAGCCCCAAACCCAAAACCCAACCCCTAATCCCGAAACCTCACACCCAAAACCCTAAACCCGCCAAACCCCCAAACCCTAACGTCCAAGACACTAAAACCTCAAACAAGTCCGTTAAAGGTTCATGGGTAGCTATAAGTAGGGTTCACGGTAGTTGTGAGTAGGGTACCAAAAACTAAAAACACAACTTTCGCTATAGCCTTGTTTAGGATACTTGTAAGCCTACTTATGACTAGCCACGGAACCTCCAAGTAATATAGGGGTCGGAAGAATTACTAATAGTATTCCCCTTATGTCCCTTTACAATTATACTGTAATAACCCCCCTCAGAATGCTATTCTAATTCTCAAGGGCACCTATAGTACGTCTCCTAAACCCTAAACCCCAAACCCCAAACCCCAAACCCCAAACCCCAAACCCCAAACCCCAAACCCCAAACCCCAAACCCCAAACCCTAAACCCTAAACCCTAAACCCTAAACTAATCATCAAGGCCCCTAGAGTGACCTGGGGAGCTCTAACTCTTGAATGCCACCCGCGCCCCCGGAGCTCCCACGGCGGAGAGGCCGCCACATCTTACGGGCTCTTTGTAGGGAATGAAGGCAACTAGGGACTCTATAGATCCCTTCAAGGTAGGGTTTAGGGTTTAGGGTTTAGGGTTTAGGGTTTAGGGTTTAGGGTTTAGGGTTTAGGGTTTAGGGTTTAGGGTTTCGGGTTTCGGGTTTACGGTTTAGGGTTTAGGGTTTCGGGCTATACGACCCCGTAAAGGTATAGATAGGGGGTACCCATTTCCCGCATTCCCTACGAAGAGCTGGTAGGACAAGGCGCTCTATCCTTCCCAGAGAGGCCTCTGCCTTAGCTTTTTCGTCGAGTCTAGTAATTGCCGTGGGCTTGGGGCTGGTCCAACTAGGGTTCAGGTTTAGGGTCTCGGGCTTGGGGGCTTAATTCAGGATGCCAAGGAATTGTTACAACGCTTCTGGTTCAGCTGGGTGTTGATGGGACCTTGACCCAAAAGGAAGACCTCGTACTACCCTAAACCCTAAACCCTAAACCCTAAACCCTAAACCCTAAACCCTACTGGCATCCTGGCCAGGGTCAGAATTAAGGCAGGGAAGGGGTAGAGTTCGGGCTTAGGGTGTGGGCTCATTTTGGGAGTTCCTGAGCCACTAGATTGCCCCAAACCCTAACCCCTAAGCCCTAAGTCCTCAGCCCTAGACCCTAGACCCTAGACCCTAACCCTAAACCCTAAACCCTAAACCCTAGCACCTGAAGGCAGCTCCCGAACAGGGAAAGGGAGTCGGGGGTCCGAGTGAAGATGCCCTACTTGGAGGTAAAAGGTACTCATTAACCACTTATAACTGGACTAGGGCTTGGGGTTTCGGCTTTAGGATTTAGGGTTTAGGGTTTATCACTGTACTTATAGCTGTACTTATAACCATATTAGGGCACTTAAGAGGCTTGTAAGTGGGTTTTCAGTATCAGTTGTAATTGGTTAATAAGTACCCTGAACCTCCAAGTACACCTCTACAACCGCTACTCCAACACCACATTCACAAGCCATTGGAGTGCTTTAGGATTTAATGAGCTTAGGGTTTCCGGTTTAGGGTTGTAAGAGCTTGGGGTTTGGGGTTTAGGGTTTAGGGTTTAAGAGCTTGGGGTTTGGGGTTTGGGGTTTGGGGTTTAGGGTTTAAGAGCTTAGGGTTTAGGGCTTACGTTGGCATTTGAGTCCCTTCCTTCCCCTGAAACCCTAAACCCTAAACCCTAAACCCTAAACCCTAAGGTGTTCTCGCCGTGCGTCTCCTTCGACTGGTCCTTGAACTTCGCCAGGATCTCGTCACAAAGCCTCACCGCATCGGTAGGGATGCATGATCTTGGGGCTTGGGCTTCAGGGGGCTTTTGGTTCATAGGGTTTAGGGTTTAGGGTTTTAGGGTTTTAGGGTTTTAGGGTTTAGGGTTTAGGGTTTAGGGTTTAGGGTTTAGGGCTTAGGGCTTAGGGCTTAGGGTGAATCTTGGGGCTTAGGGTTTATAGGGCTCAGGGTTCAGGGTTCGGGTTGAGGGTAAGGCGGCTTGTGCTTTGGGTGTTCCGCACTGGCCTTATATTTCGGGGGGTGGGGGCGGGGTGGGGGGTTGAGGGTTAAACCCTAAACCCTAAACCCTAACCCTAAACCCTAAACCCTAAACCCTAAACCCTAAACCCTAAACCCCTAAACCCTAAACAGGGCGAAAGGGTTTTGGGCTTTAGGGGTCGAAGGCCTTGAAGACCCGAAGCTCACGAAGCTCTAGGCGGTTTAGGGACGAAGGCCTTCGAGGTGGCTTAGGGCGACGAGGGCTTTAGGATTAAGGGTTAGGGTTTAGGGTTTAGGGTTTAGGGTTTAGGGTTTAGGGTTTAGGGTTTAGGGTTTAGGGTTTAGGGTTTAGGGTTTAGGGTTTAGGGTTTAGGGTTTAAGGTTTAGGGTTTACGGTTTAAGGGTTTAGGGTTTGACTAATCCAGGACATAGAGCTCGATGCGGACAACATGAGTTGAAGATCTACGGCCCCAAGCCCTGAACGGCTTGTCCCACTGGTTCTTACAAGGGAATGTGGGAATTGGGGCTCTATAAATATACACCATAAGGAATTATACAGGGTACCTCATTCCCTACCAAGAACCAGCCAGTTGTCCCTGAGCCAGCAGCTTCTTCGCTTCTGCTCCACACTCCTGACATCAGCAGTGGAGGGCTTAGAACTTAAGGGTGACCTTAGTGTTCTTGGCGGAGAACCAACCCTAAACCCTGAACCCTGAACCCTGAACCCTGAACCCTGAACCCTGAACCCTAAAGGTGCAGGACAGACGGTCAAAGTGGCTGGCTGCACAGGTTCGTGATGCGAGTGCCACCAGGGCCGGGGGGGGGGGGGTTCCTGCATGCTTTACCCTTTGAGGGCTGTTCACAAGGTACGGTCCCTGAATCCCTAAGCCACTACAAGACAAACCCTAGACCCTAAACCCTAAACCCAAAACCCTAAACCTGAACCTTAAACCCTAAACCCTAAACCCTAAAGCCTGGCAGCTCTTTAGCTCCACGCCGATGCGAGTCTCCTCGCAGGCAACAGGCATTGCCCCCCTAGGCTGTGTAGGGTCTAGGGTTCATAGGGTTTAGGGTTTAGGGTTTAGGGTTTAGGGTTTAGGGTTTAGGGTTTAGGGTTTAGGGTTTAGGGTTTAGGGTTTAGGGTTGGGATTTAGGGTTCACAGGGTTCATGGGGTTCATAGGCATCATTGGGTTCATAGGGTTCATAGGGTTCAGAGGGTTCATGGAGTAGGGTTTAGGGCTTAGGGCTTAGGGCTTAGGGTTTAGGGTTTAGCGTTTAGGGATTAGGGTTTAGGGTCTGGGGTTTAGGGTTTAGGGCTTGAAGTGTTCGGGATGCTCATTGCTCAGATTCAGGGTTTTTTTCAAGCTCAAGGGCTCAGCAATAAGACTGAAGGAGCTTAGGGTAAGGCATCCATCAAGGGAGTCATACTCCGACCCCTTAGGATGTAGCCCTAAGAGGTTCTCTTAAATGTACTCCCAGTGATGGCCCTTATATGCCCTTAGAGGATCTTTGAGAAGGGTCCCCAAAAACCCAAGGGTTACTTGGAGGTTCATGGTACCTACTACCCACTTATAACTGGGCTTATAACCCTACTTATAGTTGGGATAACCCCTATAAGGCCCTTAGGGGTATTATAAGTAGGGCTATCAGTACAGTTATAAGTGGTGAGCAAGTACCATGAACCTCCAAGTAGGGGTCCGAGGTGGAAGGTGGGGAGTTTTTGAAGGAAGCCAGGGGATCAGGGCTTTAAAGGTTCTTGCGTTCAAGGCTTGGGCCTTTTAGGGTTCAGGGTTCAGGGTTTAGGGTCGTGGGTTTCAACCCTTTTGGGGAGGTCTTACAAGGTTTGAGTGCTTCGGTGGGTGGGGGGCTGGGGGGGGGGGGGGGGGGGGGGGGGGGGGGGGGGGGGGGGGGGGGGGGGGGGGGGGGGAGGAGTTGGGTTTTCGGGTTGAGGCAGTCGGGGCAGGGCTTCGGGTGCTCAAAGGGTTTAGGGATTAGGGTTTGCGCATTACGAATTCTTGTGGGGTTTTTTAAACCCTAAACCCGAGCCCCTAAACCCTGAACCCTGTTGAAAGCAGGGACTTCGGTTCGCCGAGAGAAAAGGGGATTCATTGGCGAGCGCAGGGTTCGCTGGGCACGTGTGGGCCACTTTTCCTTTGCTTCTCGACTCTATACCCTAAACTGATTCATGGGTTTAGGGTTGTGGGTTTAGGGTTTAGGGTGCTAAACCCGAAACCAACGAGAAACCTGCTGGCGTGGTCAGAATGGAATTTCGGCGATGTGCCTTATGATGCCCATTGCTGGCTCCAGTCCATGAGTCCCAATCTTTTCAATGGAACCAGTGGGACCACTGGACCATTGAGACCAGCCACCATCGGCTGCCATCTGCTCGCTCGAGCTAGACCAGCTGGAGGACGAGTTGCCGCCCGTGACCGTAGCTGTCTGTCTGTTGTCTTCCTTCGAAATGCGCGCTTGAAAGATGTATCGTCGGCCAAGCAAGCCGTGTCAAAGTCATGTTGCTGGCGTCCTTCGAGGAAGCGAGCGCGGCCCAAGCACTCTAAAATCCAACATGCTAAGAACATGCGAAAATCAAGCAAACATGCAAAAACCACAAAGCTAGAGTTTTTAGGGTTTCGGATGGCTTGTGCAGAGAATTGCAGCAGCTGTGAAGTACCCTAAACCCCTAAACCCCTAAACCCCTAAACCCCTGAACCCCTGAACCCCTGAACCCCTAAACCCCTAAACCCCTAAACCCCTAAACCCCTAAACCCCTAAACCCCTAAACCCCTAAACCCCTAAACCCCTAAACCCTAAAAACCCTAAATAACGGGAACGACACGGTGACTCTCATGGGACTCTTCCTTGAACCCCCTAAGGTTCTACCCTTGGGTTTGGGGACCCCTTTGAAAGTTCTTCTAACAAAAAAGGCCATTACTAGGAGAATATTAAGGGAACCTCTACTGAACTTGAAACCCTAGCAAAAAACAAACTACTTTGCTTTTTTTAGGAATTTTCGTACCCGACAATCGAAAAATATACTCCCAAATCCCGAAGCTTCATCCTTAGGAGTACGAGTGTGAGTCCTTTGAGGTGATTCTCAAGATCTCAGGGTGTGGTAATTAGATGGTTCGGCCCTTAAATCGGAACCCCTTTTCTACCCCTTGTATGCCTTGTATACCCTATAAGCCGCAAGGCATAATTCAGAACCCGTTGACGAAGGCAAGGGACCATATGAAGGGACCATGTACCTACCCTTAGACAAGGCGGGAAGCAGCCTTGCTCGCCCAGAACGATCAACGCTGAGACTTGTAAAACCCTATAACCCCATAAAACTCTAAACGCTACACCCCGGCCGCGCGCTTGCCTGGCTCGCCCGTTGTTGCTTTCAACACTCAAAGCATCTCTTTGATGGCGCTCTTACGTCGCATCGAGGCCTTTCCGCCTACCGAGGTAAGCCGCTACATAGGTGCTTACGAGGTGCTCACGGGCTTCGCAGAAGTCCTCTTCGGCAGCTTCGACTGAGAAATGAGCTCTGAACCCTGAAACTCTTCAATCCTAGACCTCAAACCCTAAACCGAGGATCTCCCCGAACCACAAAGCCAGCCTCTAAGCAGCTCAAAAGCCCGGGCCCTAGGCCCCAAAAATTAATTCTGAACCTGTTGTACTACAAAACCATAAAACCTGTTGAGGGTAAAGGGTTTAGGGTAAAGGGTGTAAGCACATAGCCTTAACCTGTTTAGGGTAAAGGGTTTAGGGTTTAAGGGTTTAAGCACGAAACCCAAATCCCACCAGTCCATGACTGTCTCCCAGGAGCAGCTGGTCGAGGACAGCTGCCTTGAGACATTCAGAAACCCCAAACCCTAAACCCTAAACCCCAAACCCGAAACCCTACATGTGACATTCAGGGTAATGCTGCCTCGGGCTTGGCGTTGAGTTTTGGGTCTAGGGTTTGGGGCTTCGGGGTCTATGAAACCCACACGTCATGAGGTCCCCCAAACCTCACTCCGACAGGGATTTTTGCAGAATGTGAGTAAAACACCCTAAACCCTAAACCCTAAACCCTAAACCCTAAACCCTAAACCCTAAACCCGGCACGCTGCTGGCGTGCTGCCCGAGCCGCATCATTCAGTGTATAGGGCTGGGCTACATGCCGTCCACGTCGCTTGTGGTGAGGGTCGTCATAGTGGTGCACTGTTTATTGTGAACCACAAGATTGCCGGCAGCAGATCATGTGTGATCACTGCTGATACTTTTAGGCTTTAGCGTTTAGGGTATACAGTGGATTCGTTGGATGAAGGCTCAAAAAAGCAAGACTGCGGCCGCGAATCCCGCCGGTCTTGGGCGTACTCATTCCGCTGACGGGCACACGCTGCTCTGTTGGATGTCCACACATTGGCCTCACAACCTCCTCAACAGTCTTCAAAACAAGCTCAGGTTGGAATCCAAGCTCAAGGCCCTTACCAAAGCCTGACCTGAACCCAACACCTCAATCTACTTTAAACCCCTCAAGTGGTACAAGTACAGCAAACGCATGTCATGAGAAATGCTCCCAACAACCCCAAAACCTAAACCCTAAACCCTAAACCCTGAGATTTGTCCCTGACCACGGTTCCATTTCTTAATCCAAGGTCTGGCATACGGCAGACTTTATCATGGGAGCCGGAGGGCCGGTTTAGGGTTTAGAGTTTAGGGTGTAGGGTGTAGGGTGTAGGGGGAGGGCTGGACGTTATTAGAAATCTACCAGGCCCTGAGCCAATCTCATATGCGTTGCTACCGACATGCCCAACGGGAAATTTCCAGGGTCGAATCCAATCAACGCCCGTTTATTATTGAATGTATTCAGCGTAGGGTAGAATTGGCATATACCTTGGGGCGGACCCCAAGTCTGAGCACAGACAAGTTAGAACCGCCTTCTAGGCCCTCGGATTTAGGGTTGTTGAAGGGGGCTGCGGGGTGCTATGGATTCTTATCAGACGTGCCAAGCCAAGCAAGGAATAACAAGAAGTTCTACACAACCCAAGCCCAGCTCCCTCTTCGCCCTACCTAAACCACCCGGACCCCCCCCCACCCCGCCAACCCCCAACCCCGAAACCCTGAACCCTAAGCCCCTGTAAGCCCCTGTAAGCCCTGCCTCAACAGCGGCATGACCTCGGAGCCCTCCGTGCGAGCCCTGTGGCGCGGTCGGATTTGGGGTTCAGGTTTTAGGGCCTAGGGGAGTTTAGCGTGCAGGGTTGGGGCGACAGGGCCTGTAGGGTCTAGGGCGACAGGGTCTCGGGTTCAGGGCTCAGGCACCATGAGTCGGTCTAGGATTCCAGGTTCAAGTTGGGCCTTATGGTGTGCCAGCAGATTGGTTTCGGCCTCAGAGGCTTTGGGGTTTGTGTGTGTTTGGGGGGTAGGGGTTGAGGAGCTTAGGACGGTTTCGGGCTCAGAGATCTACAGGCCTTGGTCCGCCAAGTCCGAACCCCAAAACCCCAAACTCCTGACCCAACCCCAAGTACCCTGAGTAAGGGCCGAAGGGCACCTTATTCGGGGGGGTTTTCAGCATCAGGGGGCTCTGGGCCCATTTCCCCCCCTTGAACCAACCCAGGCCCAGGCCTTTTCAGCCCATCGCGGATCTCCGCCACCTGTCCGCCAAGGACCTAAACCCCAAACCCTAAACCCCTAAACCCCTAAACCCTAAACCCTAAACCCTAAATACCCAAAACCACAAGCCCTAATTGCTTGGCCACCCCAGAGTCTCCCCTCCCCGACATGCCAAGATTCTTCCTAGGATGGCCACTAAAACACCCTCTGACAAAATCTTCCTGGATAAGCGTTTAGGGTTTAGGGTTTGGGGTTTAGGATTTAGGGTTGCTCTTAAACAAAGCAAGAGCAAACTATAGAAAATGTGCCACAAGTATCCTACCTAGTCTTGATCAGAGACAAGATCCAAAGTCTCCCCTCCCCCTCCCCCCCTCGTGATGTTGGGGCCCGGGCTTATAGAGGTACATGGGCCCTTTGGGGGTTACGCACCAGGACCCGGAGTAGGCCGTTACTCCATCTTTTTAGGGTTTGAGGGTCCCTTGTAATCCCCTTAAAAACAAAAAGGGCACCCTTTTCATACCTAGGTTACTCCTGGGTCTAAGGGTGGGTGATGCATCTTCGGCCTCTCTTTGCCCTGAATACTGGCTGGTTCTTAGTAGGGGATGAGGGAAGGAGGCACCCTATGTCATCCCTTCAAGGGCATCGATCGGGAGCCTCATTCCCTCATTCCCTACTCAGAACCAGGGGGAATAGGGTTTAGGGTTTAGGGCTTAGGGCGCACAGCCCCCTCCTCCCTCCCCCCCCCCCTCTCCCCCTAAACCCTGACGAAGTTTGCCTTCGCCCGGCTCTGCATCTCTTCCTCTTTTCCTGGCCGCAAGAAGCAGATAGGGTTCAGGATTTAGGGTTTAGGGTTTCGGGTTTGGGGTTTAGGGTTTAGGGTTTGGGGTTTAGGTACAACCCAAACACGAAAACCCCCAAAAACCAAATGTACTGCAAAGGCCCAACTCCCCACCCTCTGGAAAAAGGCTTTCCGCAAAGGGCGTGTCAGATCTTGGACGCACACGATACACTGCGTGCCTTTCACAAAACTCCCCTTAGAACCTCAACAACAACAATATGCTTAATATTCTCTTGGGTTTTACGTGTTTTTATACATACAGACATCCTAAAAAATACTATGCTTGCTATTCCCATCGGTGTATATGAATTACTCCTAAGCAGGCTGTAGTTCAGCTGGGTATTTCCCCAAATAGGGGTACCCCTTAAAGCCCAAATAGAAGAGGATCCCCTTAAAGGGACCGCCCCAACAAGGGTACCCCTATTTTCGGATACTCCTGAACCCTAAACCCTAAACCCGAAACCCCAAACCCTAAACCCTAAACCCTAAACCTAAACCCTAAACCGTAAACCCAGCTTGAACCAGTTTGCAGACACACGCGCTCGCCCGTGCGCGGCTTTCTGAGCCGCGCGGCGCAGCTCGACCTTCACCTTTCGCAGCTCTTCCTGCACCTGGGCCACCACAGGTTTAGGGTTTAGGGTTTAGGGTTTAGGGTTTAGGGTTTAGGGTTTAGGGTTTAGGGTTTAGGGTTTAGGGTTTAGGGTCTATGGTTTAGGGTTTAGGGTTTGGGGTTTGGGGTTTAGGGTTTGAATTTTAGGGTTTGGGGACCACCACAGGCTTATGGGGTTCTTGAGGGAAGGGGGGGGGGGGAGGTATGTAACCCAAGGTTCCCTAACTAAGACTCTCCACTAATTACTCCCTAAGGCTCCCAAAGCTTCCTAAGGTTCCCTAGCTACCTACCCCCCATGAACCCCACCCCCCCTCTCCCCTTAAGAACCCTATAACCTATAACAGGTTTAGGGTTAAGTGTGGGAAGGCTTTAGGGTTTTTAGTGTCCTCACCAGAGCAGCCCTAAGCCCTAAACCCGAAACCCCAAAACGAGCGCCCGTTCAATCAAACTCCAAGGCATCCCCCCAAGCCCACAAGAAACCCTAAATCCTGAACCCTAAAGCCTGTAAACCCAAAAGCTTTAACCCGAAACCCATACTGTTACAAGCACTAGTATGATGAATATCTTTAAACTCATCTTAAACACAAAAAACTTCGGAATGGCAATTGTGAATTTCAGGGGACGAAAAGAGAGACCCTCATCAGGGAGCTTTGGGGGAAATGTAGGGACTATTTAGGTAAATAGGGACTATATAAGGTCCATATAGGGGTTTATAGAAGGGAATAAGATCCTGGTAGGGGTCCCCTCTTATATCCCCTTTATTAAGAATTATGAACCCCAACAATCCGAAGAACTCATGAGCCCCTAAACCCTAAACCCTAAGCCCGAAATCCTAAACCCTAAGCCCTAAACCCTAAACCCTAAACCCTAAACCCTAAACCCCTCTCTGGGCACAGCGGCTCTCTTGTCCTCCGGGGCCTGCTTCTGGGCCTCCAGGAGCTGCTTGTGGGCCTGGGCACAACAGCCCCCCCCAAACCGTTTTTTGCTTTCGGGTTTAGGGTTTAGGGTTTAGGGTTTAGGGTTTAGGGTTTAGGGTTTAGGGTTTAGGGTTTAGGACTTAGGGTTTAGGGTTTTAAAATTTAGGGGGTGTTTTGTTTGGCTCCTTAGAGGCTTCTAGGGCTCAGGGCTTAGGTAGTGCTTAGGGCTTGGGGCTTCTGTTTATGGTTTGAGGTCTTGAAGGTGTTTGGGTATCTCGGAACTCGGGATGTAAAGCATTTTTTGGCCGAAGGAGGGCGCGGGATCGTTGGTCTTCTCTAAAGGGGGAGAGGGATGAAACTGCCTGAAGCTTCTACGCAGTACCCACACTTGACGGTTGGTTTCATCTTTCGCGCCCAGCGACATTGTGTCGACATCCGCGGCTCCTTGAGGTTGGCTGCAGCTCGCCTTCTGCGGGCGCAGGTCCAAGTATTTATGAATTCCATGAGGCCCGCTCCACGGGCTGTCTGCAGAGTTCGCCCAGCCCCCCTTAGGCTGTGGGACTCGCCTGTACAAGTGGCATAGTAAGCATCATAGAAAAGATGGCACAAGCAACGCGGCTACGTGCCTGTACACGTGCACACGTGGAGTGTCATCGGAATCGGGAGAGAGCTCTTGCGGCTTGCCTAGACCTCGGAAAACGACTGGCTCGGGGTGATAGTGCTGGGGGTGCCCTTGCCCTTCTCCAGCTCGTCATCTTTGCTTTCGACAAAGGCAGAAGCCCAAAGCATGTGAACTCGAACCAGGGGGCTCTCTCCACGGTACCTTAGTTGCTGAGTTCATAAGCCACAAAAAAGTGTACACGTTTAGTTTTGTAGAGGTTGTAGTATCCCAAAAAGTGTAAAGTGTACTCACTCAGCTACTAAGGTACAGCCTCAGCGGAGCAAGCAGGACCTGAATGGAAGCCCACAGGACCAAGCCGGCGATGATGCCGTAGCCGATGCTGAAAGTGAAAGGCATGGTGATCATGGCCACAAAGGCCGGCACGGACTCCTCCATGTCATCCCAGTTGACGCCGCGCACGGAGCTGCACATCATGGCGCCCAGGAGGCACAGGATAGGACCGGAGGCCAGCGGAGGCACCTTGGCTGGTTTCGGGTTTAGGGCTTAGGGTTAACAGTAACCTTCAAGGCGTCTTCCTATCTGCATGTGACTCGACGAGCTCATCTAGAAAGGACATCCACACTTCGAGATGCGCACGCAAGGAACGCGAAAATGTCAGTCAAAAATGCAGGCCCCGGCACAGCGGAGACCACCGGGGAGAAGGGAATGGCCAGCAGGAAGCAAGTGCCCGTCACCAGCGAGGCCAAGCCGGTCTTGGCGCCGTCTGCCACGCCAGCCGTGGACTCCGCAAAGGTGGCGACCGTTGAGACTCCCAGCACCGAGCCCACCTGCGGCGGAGGCTTACAGTGCAGCGGCTGCGAGGCTTCATGCACTGCATGTGGCCCAAATGCTCAACACATCTCAACATACATCAAAAGCAATAAAAGCAATGCAAAGATGTGTCGATCTTAAATAATCAAGATGTGTCGATCTTAAATATCCTTAATGCAGTTCCCACCAGCATGGACAGCGCATCCGCCAGGTAGGCCATGTTCTGACGGGCGAGGGGGAGGTTGCCGTGCTTGTCGGTGAGCCCTGCGACCTTCGCCACTGCAAAGAACGTGCCGGAGGAGTCCAGGAGGTCCGTGTAGCCTTAAGCCACCCAGGGTTTAGGGTTTAGGGTTTAGGGTTTAGGGTTTAGGGTTTAGGGTTTAGGGTTTAGGGTTTAGGGTTTAGGTGTAGCAGCAAGAAGGAAAGACGTTGAGTGCTGAATGACTATCCGTGCAACAGAAAGTGGCCACCGCCGTCCAAAACGTGGCGCTGGTCTCGGGGCGGAAAGCCTTCTTTGCAAGCAAGTGGGTGCACTCTCTAATGTACAGACCCTATTGCCCGTTTACTACGCGCAAGCCGATGTGTGTGCGCTCCAAATCAAACCCTCCGCTCAACCCCCTCCAAAGATGTACAGGACCTTCGCGAGGTACAAGCTATAAAGCAACTGCTATATGAGTGAATCCGAAAATCTGGAGTGCCCCCTATACATGTACACCAACATTCGACAATCTCTGATGATAGGCCAAAATGTAACCCAGGATGTTGCAACTAATTTCCGAGGGGCCCAGTCAAAGCCTTCCCAAAGCGCACCGGCGAGGCCCTGAAGAGAAGGCTTGGCGACCTTCGTGCTGCAGAACTATGCAACAGACCCGTGCAAACCCCAAACCCCTAAACCCCTAAACCCCTAGACCCCTAGACCCCTAAACCCCTAAACCCCTAAACCCCTAAACCCCTAAACCCCTAACCCCTAAACCCTAAACCCCTAAACCCTAAACCCTACACCCTAAACATAGACCCCATACAGTGCAAGGGCACATCGCAAACGTTGCGGCCGCACAACCCAAAGGCTAAAAACTAGACTAAACTGCTCTGCACGACGAGCATGCGCCGGACCGGGGCGGGAGCATCACTTCCAACACAGGCCACATGCAAATCCCCTGGCTCGATAGGCGAATTCCCTCCCTGCCCTGTTTCCACAACATGGAAGGACACAATTAGCCTCAAAAAGTGCGCGGCCTTTTGCTTTCGTTCTTTTTTGTATATTTCTGCTTGCCTTCGTTAGGCGCGAAGAGTGACCCCCGTGAGAGTGAGAGTGAGAGTGAGAGTGAGAGTGAGAGTGAGAGTGAGAGTGAGAGTGAGAGTGCGAGTGCGAGTGAGAATGAGAGCGAGAGCGAGCGAGAGAGAGAGAGAGAGAGAGAGAGCGAGAGAGAGAGAGCGAGAGAGAGAGAGAGAGATAGAGAGAGAGGTCTGGGCGTGTGTGTCTGTTTGCGCGCAAACCGCCACCTCCGAATCCTGCGGGCAAACTCGCGGCCAGGCAAGAGCGCAAGTTTGAACGACCCAAATGAGCGCCGCGCCTAGGCGAGAGCCGCGGGACTTCCGCGGGCTCCACAGCCCTCCAGCTCTCCCAACCCAAACCCTAAACCCTAAACCCTAAACCCTAAGCCCTAAGCCCTAAGCCCTAAGCCCTAAGCCCTAAACCCTAAACCCTAAACCCTAAACCCTAAACCCTAAACCCTAAACCCTAAACCCTAAACCCTAAACCAACCTAATCCCTCCTCATCCTGAGAGCCGGAACCCCAGAGTGTTGCCTCACTGTTGGATAAAACAAAACAGACTCAAAAACCAAGTGGCCCTGGAAACCGTTGTTCAATGTGAGGTCTTGCAGAATTCGGGGAGCCCGAACCTTGTAAACCAAGAACCTCTGGAATCTAGGCCGCTCTATGTTTCTCTTGCGGCCGCGAGGCAATGCCCGTGGGCACGAAGATGTGGAAGTCCTCAACCGATCGGTCGCCTCCGGTGCCAAAAGGGTAGCCGAAGACGGATCCCTCCACGCCGTGCGCCCAGCCCTCGATCCAGCACACCACGGTTCCAAAGATGATACCGATTAAGGGCGCACCGGGGATCTTGGCTGCCATGAGGCTGGCTGTGACGATGAGCACCTTGGTAGCCCAGCAACCGTATTAAAAAAAGGGCGCTCTTTTTTGGGTTGGCTATTTTATAAGGGAACCCATAACCCAAAAAAAGGGTAAAGGGTAAAGGGTACCACTGGGCTACCAAGGCACCAAGAGGCTCATCCACATCTTCGCCGAGTCGTAAGAGGCTGAGCTCAGAGAGCCCAGCGTCACGAGAGTGGCAGGATCCGCCACGGAAATGCCCATGCCCTCGGAACCCTGGAAGGCGATGAAGGTCAGGAAGAGCCCCACGCCAGCCCCAATGATTTCCTTGATGCCTTCCGGGAAGAGCCGGATGAGCAGTGTGCGCAGGCCCGTGACGCTGAGCAGGGTGAAGAGGCAGCCCGCTACGAAGACAGCTGCGAAGGCGGCCTGCCAGGGGAGCCCGCGGCCCAAGACGATGCTGAAGGTGAAGTAGGCGTTGGTGCCCATGCCTGGCGCAAGCATGAAGGGGAAGTTGGACAGGAGCCCCATGAACCAGCAGCCAAAGAAGGCCGACAGAGCCGTGGCACACACAAGCTGCTCCTGGACCCAGGAGTAGGTACCCAGTTTGTTCAAAGGGGAATCATAAGGTACCCTAAACCCTCAACCCTAAACCCTAAACCCTAAACCCTAAACTCTAAAAAGGGGAAAAAGGGCCTACTCCGGGTCCCAGGCTCCTTCATGTCAGGCACAGCCAGGCTCAGCATGCCGCTGTTGACCGGGAGGATGTAAGCCATGGCCAGGAAAGTCGTCAAGCCCGCGCGGATCTCGGTGGCGTAGCTGGAGCCCAGCTTGTGCACATTGAAGGGGTCCGACAGGTTCAGGTGGCTGAAGTTGCCCTTAAGGCCCAAGATCTCCAGCATCGATGCTGTCCGAGTGCCTCGGGTCTGCTTCTCCTCCTCGTGAGAGATGACGGTCATCGCGCCCCGGGAGATCCGAAGGAAGTTGAGGGGATGGTCTACCAAGCAAGCTGCAGCTGTCAAAGGCTAGACCGGGCAAAGCAGGTGCGCTGGAGAAACCCTGAACCTTCAAGACACACGGAGCCAGTACTTCAGCGACTGGAAGCATAAGGGGCAACCTGCTTTCTGGAGGCAACTGTTTTGAACATAGTGGGACTTCCTTCGCCTGGGGATCTTCTGGCGACCTCGCCTAGGTGCTGAACCCGCCCACGGTTTTAACAACTTTTGCCTATGAGAAGACTCTACTGGCTTGGGGGGGGGGGGGGGGGCAGGATGCTACCAGGGACACTCGCAAGGCATGCAGGAGCGTCTCACTCTGCTTTTGCATCTCAGACAGCCGGTGCGCCCTGCTGCCGCCACAAACTACACATTTCAAAGTGCCACGTACTCACAGGACCGGTGCATGTTCAAACTTCACCGTGGAGTCACCCAGCGCCTGGCCGTCAGACCGCCCCAAAAACGCATAGCTTGGAAACACTATTGCCCACAC